GCTCTATAAATACAGCTTATTACAACATTTTTCTTTTTTTCCATGAGTATTTCTACAGTCACACACTCCAGCAAATTATCCACCACCCTTGACATTTTCTCCACTCTCTTATAACAAAAGTTTTTATCTATGTACAAGGCCACACCACCTCCCATCTTATTCTCTCTGTTTGTGCATACCAAGTCATAGCCATCAAGGTCAAAATCCATTCCCCTTACATTATTAATCCATGTTTTAGAAATAGCAATTATATTAAAAGAATGTGTAAGACTACTAAGATAATGTTTTATACTCTGAAAGTTTCCGTATAAACTTCTGTTATTGAAGTGAAGTAATGATAATTTGTTTTCAGTCTTGACATTGCTGTTAAACTGCTCATCTGTGTAATACTTAAGAATTGTAGAACAGACAAGAGGAGCAGTAAACGTCTGCTCTCCCTTGCAACCTGTTAAAATATGGGGTTTCTCAGTTACCTGTTTTGCTTACAGTGTTACACATCTCTTTATCAGTACATATACCGTTGTTTATGTGGAGGAGAAATTCAGATTAATTATTGCCATCAGGGTTCCTTGTGCTGTCCACTTTCAACGCAACACCGGTAACGGGAGCTGTGCGTGTTCATGAACTATCCTCTCATTTTTTGGAAGAGGCTTTCTGGTTTTATCATTCTGAATTAATTACAAACTATTTAGAGTTATGAGGGGTGCCAAGCTAATCTAGAGGTATCCAAGATTAAACATTAATCGGCTGGAAACAAGCAAAATGAGCAGGCCATGGGGACTTTAGGAACTGCACTGGTGTTGATTTTTGAGTGCTTTATATATTGTAGACTATTAGTTTCTCCCCCACATAACTGCACAACATTAATAAAAACATTTTTGTTTAGGATCTCTTAACTTTGATCTATGATATGCCATGAGTGTGACATTTTACAGTGTAAAAAACAACCTGTCAGTGCTTCATGGTGGACATACTGTGTGATGGAGTATTGACCCAGGGATTTTTTAGTGTGTAATTAATGTGAATATTGAATTGAATGTATAATACAGGTCTATTCATTTTTAATTGATATTATCCAAATATCTGTAACAACCACACAATGGATCTTGTTGTGAGACTGTTTGGCTATGTCCAAGGTCAGGAATGAGTATTGTAACTCTACTATCAGCCATGCTGATAAAGTATATCTGTATGTTGTTGCTAGTGTTTCAGCATAATTACAACAAACCATCAGGTCAGTTATTAGCCATCAGCTGGCCTGTCTGCCAGATTTAAGTGTAGGTTACTTTGTGTTAGAAGCACTCAGAGTCATTAGTAACTGGCCTCACAGCATTATAAACACTTCCTCACACAGAGAGGAACTCACTCTGTCAGAAGCAATGTGGGTGAACCAGTTGAGCTTGACAGGAAGTGTTTCAAAAGCATTAGGTTGTTCTTTAACATGCTGTTTTTTAAGCAGTCACATGTGCACCAGGAGAGAGAGTATGTGTGTTATTTTGGAAGCTGCAGCTGCAATTAGGTGTATCCACATAACTGGTTACGAGGTGGCAAATAGTTTCTAGCCCACATTTCCACATTTTAGTGTCTAGAGGAAAAAAACTGAAAGTAGACTAAGGCAGCAT